CCTGCGGCAAGAGAGTACATACGTCACGCGTGCCGGACACGGTGCGTCAACCCAAGTGCGCAATTTCAACGTGATTTTATTTCACGTCACGCGAGAACCGAATCTCGCTTTAACTATTTTATTTCGCTCGCGAATCCCGTTTTTAACGCTACGCAAATCGATTTTATTTTTTTAAAACGCGCCATGCAAAATTTATTTTACTTCAAAAAGCAAATCTTGTTTCGGCGACACGATTTTTTTAAATTTTATTATTTACAATCGGATTTTTTTATTTAATTTCCACGCGAATCACATATTTTTCGTTTTACGATCACAACAATCAGGTTTTATTTTAAATTTTTGTTTTAATTTAAGCCAAAGTAAAGTATGACTATATGTATGATGATTTTATGACCCCACACACGCAGTCTTTAATTTTAATACAATAAGAAATTAAATTGCGTATATCAAGACAGGAAATAAAACATATACTACAGCATAAGTAAAATCGAATATTGAATAAAAGTTTGTCTCTGAAATATCGAGTACAAGAAATCCGTATCTGATATTACGAATAAAAATATTAAAATAAAATTTATTTTTTATATGTCCCTTTAAAATAAAACTTATAAAATTTGCATCGCGTTAAATTAAGATCCAATCGTCATCGCCATCGTCGTCGTTGTCGTCCTCGTCGCCGTTGAAAGCTCTCAATGCTGAAACTTTCTTCCCGAGGTCGGTGGCCATGAGCGGAGCTCGCGCGCCAAGGTCATTGATTCCACCGGCAGTTCCGGCTCGGTTTCTGGGCCAGGTTAACCGACGTGTCCGCGACGGCGACGTCCGGAATACCTTCGCTCACCGTGACGTAGGCTCGGCCTGATACGGCAAGCCGGTAACGACCCACCATCCAGCGACGGATGTAAACTTATTTGAACCAGCGGTCATAACGCGAGCACGAAATTTCTTTTTTTTCGTTAATTAATATATTAGAGAATAATTAAATTTAATTGTAAAATAGTCTTTTCATGACAGATTGATTTTATGAGACAGGTGTTCAGTAATATAATCTACACGAATATGAATTTCTTCTTAAATAGAGAATTTCGATAGAAGAGTGAGAAGTGTAATTGAGTAAATGAATTGAATATTTTAAATTAATTATTAATTATTAATTGAGTTTGAGATATTGGTATCGAGAATCACTCACTCAAAAAAATGTCTTGCTGATATAGGTAGATTTCTAGGTGTCACAACAAAAATTTATCGCTATTTTTTGTATCTGTTAGAATATTGTCTGTTACATATAGAATTTATAGCAGCAACATTCTAATAATATCTTCTAGAAAATTTAGGTCCCATTGCCAAATGTTAATCACTGCATTGGATAAATATGAGTTTCGATACTACAGCTAGAACGATCTTTGTGAGAAATATAACTGCCAATTATAACTGCAGCATCGAAAAATTGAGAAAAATTGTTTAAAAGAGCTAGATAGATTGAGCGCGTTATACAAATATGTTAGACGTGAGGATTATATATTCATTTGTTTCTTGCCGCTAATTTTTTCTGTCTACCACAGCCAAACTTTATAACAAGTATGATTGGCCTTAACATGGATAGGCGCCACAGAAAAACATTCTTTCTAAATTTCACAAACAGTTCAGATATAAATTCTGTCTCTGTCACTTAGATTGATTAAATGCGAAACATATGCGATATCACAGTATTTGCTAATCATTTATGTACCTCAGTTAATTTTGCGCACCCAGAAAATTTTTGCTGTAGTTGCAAAACCATTTTTTTGAGTGCTTGTATACATAATTCTTTAATGACGCGAGAGGTCTTTTTCGAGACCTTAGCTCTTATAGTTCGTTCAGCTAACGTGTAAATTACAGCCCTGCTGAGACACTATCGGAGCCCCACTCGCGGATATTCCATCGCGCAGAATGCGAGCTGGCCGTTCATTCACGTCTAAGTCCCCGCTTGTGTTAGTAGCGGGGCATTGACGCGGCGGCACGTGTTCCACACCGTGATTTTAATCCCTTATGACCTAAAAAAAAATCTAAAATCTGACTCAAAGCGTCGCACATAATCAAAACACTTGTATAGATATCAATTTTACTACGCTTAATAAATAAGGAGAAATCTATCTTTTACTGTATAATAAAAAAAAGAACTGAATAAATTTCCTCGACATTTAATTAAATTACCCTACATAATGAACTTCATAAGAATTAAAAAACTAAGGATTATTGAGAATTAATTGTTAATTGAGCTAGATTTTTGCGATAGAGGTAGTTGACCGCAGCAGCAGCCGTTTAATTGACTGCATAAGACGCGATGCGAATTAAAACGGCATGCGCGAGCTCATGCCCGAAGATGGCACGTGGGTTTACCTTGAGGAGGTCGCGGTGCGTCAACCTCCTCCTTCTTCTTGTATTTGAAGGATGCGATGATCCAGCACCAGGAAATTCTCCTCCAAAGTCGTCAAATACGTATGCGATTGCATGTTTGCAACTGTCCTCGGTTTTGTACGATGTATAGGATCTAGTAATTATTTATAATATCGTATAATTAATAATCAAATATATTATCATATAATTAGAAATTGAGAATGATTATTTTGATTTTAAAATAATTTTATTTTAGCTTTAAATCGATTTATTGAAATCACAATTTTCTATTGATCGCGTGTTGTTTCAAATTATCTTTAGATTTTTTTAATCAACGTACTAACGAAGAGAAATAAAATTAAATTACATATAGCTCTAAGCAGAAGAGTTTACAAACTGTTAGACTTTGAAAAAATCTATAAAGATTATTTTTTGCATTAATATCCAATTTAATCAAATTTTCTGCATTTAATCACATCGATAATAATTAAAAAATTCTCATTGTTTGAATATTATTCGAAGATTTTTAAAAGAAAAATTTTTCTTTTACATATTCTTGATATAAATCAACTTGTCAAAATTTGAGAAAAACTCTTAATAGAAAAAATATATAAATGATAGATGTTGCGAGGAGAAAAGGATCATTCTTCACGCACATGTTTATGACAGAAGCCGGACCCATGTACATCTAGGAGATATCATCTCAGAGCGATCGCGCATGTGATGACAGCATCCGGCGTTCGCGGATGACGTCATACGGCTGCGATGATCGCGTACGATGACGTCGACAATGATCGCGGATCAGCAACAGGAGGAGGAGGAGGAGGAGGAGGAGGAGAAGGTGGAGGAAGGAGCCCGAGCCGGCAGGCAGGAATCGACGTCGCGCTGTTTCGTTGCCGGGCCAGTTTCTTCCAGTTCGCCGTGTCGTCGACTTCTTTCGGATTCCGAACGTTTACAACGAACGAGGAACGTAGGTCGTCGATCCGCGACACCGGCCGGACACATGACAGTGACCCACTTTAACGGTTCCGGTCTTACATCGTGCGATTACGCGGCGGCTCGCGATACAGCTCGATGCGACAGGGATCGACTAATATGATTCGACGAAATAATAATATCGCATATCAATCAATTGTAATCGGACGATGGTTTAACGTTGAGCGGGCGATCGATTTTTTATACTCGATACCGTATTTGATACCGTATACTCGTGATACTGCTCGTTAACGGTGAATTCTCAACCGATCGTTCGCCCCATCGAGTGCAACCTCGAAAGTTGAATTGTTTAATAAACGGAGTAATCGCGAAATAAATCTCTCGAGTAAAGTGAGGAAGTAAAGTAGGTAACGTAGAATAAATCGAACTCGATATTGGATAGTCATGTTTAAACGTGGCTAATTC